ATAGGATATGATAACGCCAATTGGTGTCGTAAGCCTTTTCCAGGTCAAAAAGGACGGCAACAACGGAGGTCTTCGCAGCAAAAGCAGTACGAATATAGACCTCCAAGTTCACCAGGACATCTGTCGTGCTGCGGCACTTGCGGAAACCAAATTGAGAAGGGGAGAGGAGGTGATGGTGTTCCAGGAACCACATCAGACGAACGTTAACCATACGTTCAAAGAGTTTGCAGACACAACTTGTGAGAGCAATAGGGCGAAAGTCCTTAGGGGAAGTACCCAGAGACCCCGGTTTGCGAACAGGAAGGACAACGGCATCGAGTCAGTCCTCAGTAAATACTGAGACATGCACGGAGGGAGATGGCGAAGCATCTCATAATGAATACCATCGGAGCCCGCCGCCGTAGAACCGCAGAGGGCCAGGGCAGAACGAAGTTCAGAGAGAGAGAAGGGATCATTATAGGGAAGCTGAAGATGAGTGCAGAAATCTAAAGGATGAGACTCAAGGACAGGTTTACGAAGAAGGAAAGATTGGGGAAGATGAAGACCAGAGCTAACAGAAGAAAAGTGGGAACCCAGTTCGGAAGCGACCTGCAACGGGTCCGCCACAAGAGTATCATGGAGGTGAAGGACCGGGGAAACATCGGGAACGAACTTACCCGCTATCTTGCGGATACGCTTCCAGATCTGGGCCAGAGGGGTTTCGGACGTAATTGTTGAGACATAAGATGCCCAACATTCACGTTTAGCTGTACGGATGGCCCTACGGGCCACCGCACTCGCTTTCCGAAAGAAAAGAAAAGAATCGGTCGTCTGCCTACGGCGGTGCCTCTTCCAGGCTGCACGCTTACAGCGGACAGCCCGAGCACAGTCCGCATTCCACCAGGGAACGCACTTCCGTGGACCCCGAGAGGAAGAGCGAGGAATAGAGCGGAGGGCAGCGTTGAAGACAGTGTCATGAAAAAGGAGGAGAGCGCGAGAGAGAGGCAGAAGGGAGAGGTCAGAGAGAGCAGCACTGAGGGTAAATAGGGTCCAGTCTGCCTTAGCAAACTTCCACCTAGGGAAAGAGAGGGAAGGGCGAAAAGAGAAAAAGGAAACAAGGAAGAGGAAATGATCACTTCCATGGAGGTCATCAAGAACCTGCCACGTGAAATCTAAGTAAAGAAAAGAAGAGCAGAGAGAAAGATCAAGACAAGAAAGGGTGCGAGTCCGAGAGTCCAAATGAGTGGGCTCACCAGAATTCAGAAGAGACAGGGAAGAAGAGAGGAGAAACGGCTCAAGGAGGCGACCCCGGGTATTCGTCAGGACGTCACCCCAAAGAGAATGACGACAATTGAAGTCACCCAGCAGGAGCACAGGCTCCGGCAAGGAGTCTAGGAGGTGTTTCAAATCAGGAAGAGAGAGCGGGACACTCGGGGGGAGATAAATGGAACAAACTGTGTACCATTTCACCACAAAGATACGAGCAGCAGAACAATGGAGAGGCGAAGGAAAAAGTAAAGGAACAAAGGGAACATCAGCCCGAATCAAGAGAGAAGAAGAATTAGAAGCCCCAGCAATGGCTGGGGGGGGGGGGGGAGAGAAAGGAATAGCCACGAAAACGACCAGGACGAGCACCAAGCATTGGCTCCTGGAGACAGACACAAAGGGGCGAAAATCGCGAAATCAGAAGTTGGAGTTCGAGGAAATTGGCGGAATAACCTCGAACGTTCCATTGAAGAATGGATAACGACGAGAAGAGAAAGGACAAAAACAGAGAACAAGGAAGAAACAAAGGCGAAAGAGCAACAGAGCACGTTAAAGAATATCAGGGTCGGGATCAGGGTCAGCAAAGTCAGGGTTAGGGGGCATGGGTAAACTGAGCAAAGACGGAGGGAAGGAAACGGGAGAACAGATCAGAGGTGGGCGGGCAGGGTCCGGAGGAGGAGGAGGAAGAGGAGGAGACAACGGAGAGGAGCAGTCAAGGACAGCAGCAGGAAGAGGGCGAGTAGAAAGAGGGAAGCGCACCCCAGCAAGAGCAGCAACCGAAAGGGAAGCAGGGGCCAAAGAAACCTCCATAGCAGGAACAGGGGGCGCAAGCACTGAAACGGGAGGGGAAGGAGCAACAGAGCCAGAAGGAGGAGCTGAGGAAGAAAGCGAAGCCTTCTTACCCGCCGGGGAAGAGGAAGGAGAGGAGCCAGGCTTACGCTTCTGACTTAGAGACCGGTGTCCCAGCAACTACGTACCGGGCAACGGATTCCTGTGTCTCAACAGGAGAAGCCGAACGAGAGCACACACGACAGCCGTTAGGAGAGCGATGGACATCCGCCCGCACCGACAGGCGGTGGGGAGAGCCGATAGATGGAGGATGAGGATGGGAAGGAGGATCGGAGGGGGACGAGGAAGAAGACACAGAAGACACGACAGACCGGGTAGAAGGAAGGGGAACCCCAGACAGAGGACCAGGAGGAGGATCCTTCGGGAGAGAACCCAAAGGGACAGAGTAGGGGGCAGTGGGCGCATCAGGGTCCAAGGCCCGGAAACGGTTGTGAGTCTGAGGAAGGCGGGAAGAACGAGGAGAGGAAGAGCGTAACACGCGAGCATAAGAGATGCGAGCATAAGAGATATTAGCATAAGGCGGGAGCCGGCGAACCTGGCGCCTCGCCTCAGGAAAAGATAAACGCTCCCGGTGCTTCAAGTTGAGGACGGCTGCCTCAAGCTTGTAATGGACACACGCACGGGAGAAGGTAGGATGGGCCTCACCGCAGTTGAGGCAACGAGCCTGGGGAGAAGCGCACTCCGACTTAGAGTGACCTTCGCCACCACACAAAGGACAAGAGAGAGACAGTCCTGGAGCAGCGGAGGGCACCATGCCCAAACCTCCAGCACTTGTTACAGAGCCGAGGAGAAGGAATGTACTCCTGGACAGAGCACCTGGCACCAGCAAGAATGACAGAGGGTGGAAGGGTCCTACCATCAAAGGTAATCTTCACAACCCGGAGGGGTTGACGGCGACTACCACGAGGGGGACGAGTAAACGTGTCCACCTGGAGAATAGAATGGCCCTGGGCAGCGAGGATATGTCGAATATCGTCGTGGCAGTCGCGCAGGTCCCGAACACCGGTCGCAACATGGGGCGGGAGCAAAATAGTGCCAACACTGGCATTCAACTGAGCGTTCTTCGAGACCCGAACGGGGGTCTCGCCAAGGCAGGATAAGGCAGCCAAGCGGGAAGCAGCATCCTGAGAAGGAGCAGCAACGACACGTGTACCGAGACGAGTGGGGTTGAAAGTAATGGAGGCATCCACGGAATTACTGAGATGTCGATGGAGGGAGAAATCGTCAGGAGGTGCAGAATCAAGAGGGAGATCAAAATATTTGGCCCACGAAGCGGGACCAAACAAGGCTTGATAGGTAGCAGAACTGGAAGGAATCGAGCGAGGGCGGCCGTGACGAGGACGGCGGTGAGAACCCCCAGAGAGAGGGGCTAAAAGGCGCAGTAGTTACAACTAGAGAAGGAGCCGCGCCTGGGGACGAGGTAGTCAGCACTGGGGGCTTGGGGTTCGACCCAACCACAGAGGGGGGAGGGGAGCCAGGGGAAGGAGTCAGAGAGGCCAAAGGAGGAGCAAGGTCGGGGCCCAATGCAGCGGAGGCTACAGAGCCCGGTCTTCCAATACGGACCGACTCGGGGGCTTGGTCGCCCACCCCACGAGCCTGAGAAGGTAAACCAGAAGCAGCCGAAACAGGGGTTATCTTGACGAAAAGAAGAATTCATTCACGAATGTGCCCCCACACCCACCATGGAGCCACAATTAGAGGCAGGACACCCAACAAGAAGCTATCGCCGATCTCGCCGGGTCCTCCTAGGGGTGCGTCGTGAGTATACGCCCCACAAACGCCACCTTAAGAAACCGACAGTCCGTCGAGATCGGGTTCAGTGACGAAGTGGGGATTGACAATAAAAGGTTACCCTCACTCTCTACGTCGGGTACTGCAGTTCTACGGGTGCAAGAGTATGCCTCCTCAAGCACCCGGGCGTCAAAATAGAAGAAGTCCAAGGGAAGAACCAGAACGAGCAAAAGGTCGGCAGGAGACGGCAAGCAGATAGGAGAAGAGGGGGAGAAAAAACGAAACAGAAGGAAAAGGAAAAGATGCCCAGCAGAATTGGAGAGGACGGCAGCAGGAGCACAAGGCTAGAAAAGGACAGGATTGTCCCAAGCAGCATAACACTCCGGCAGCCGCCCACTATGCGCCCCTCACGGCAACAACGAGCAGAGCGTGGAGGGGGGTAGAGTGCAGTAGGCTCTGGGACTCTACCCTAGTTGTTTAGAGACAATTTAAAGGAGCGACGGAAGAGCCAGAGCTCAACCCACACACCTTTTTTTTTTTTTAATGTGTTTTTATATACATGCCACACCTGCTATAGGTAAATGCGTTTTTTAATCTCTGTACCATTGTACCATCTGTTGTGCATAAATGCAATACGCTATAATAAGAATTTAAATTCCATTTCAATGTTTGATTGCTTCGTTAATTTGAGTAGGTAGACTATTTTTCATTTTGATTTAATCATTTCTTTAATATTACATTGCATTTGATCAGTGTCGTTTACCATACTATTTATTTCGCGAGAACAGTTCCTCCCCCTCCCGTTTAGTTTAGCTTCATACTCTTCAGCGCCACAGCAATGCATGTCTAGGTACACAGTTTTTAATGCAAGTTCCTTGCTCTTATGGTTCATAAAACGCTACTGGGAATAGGCTTTTCAGGATCCCAGTAAGCATGCTCAAAAGGTAGTGTTCGGAATGGAAAGGGGGGGGGGGGGAACTGTGTACAAGTTACCCCTCCTATAGTTTAGGAAGGAGGATGCATGTCAAGTCTACTCTTTCTACAAAGTAGGTAGCATTTCGTTGGTACGAGTTTCACAAGGCCATAAATTGTACTAGAAAATGGAAACTGCTGGCGATTAAGATGTACCGACCCGTTTTGGGGTCTCTGGTAGGTTAGGATAAGGACACGTTAGGTAGTTTTTTTGTCGTTTGGAAACCATTAAAAGACGCACTAGTTAACCACACAGATAGTTAACTTACGTCAAGGAATGCTAAATTACAGTTTAAACTTAAGCTTTTTGTCCATGCATGGTAAGATCTTTATGAACTTCGGCCCAGTTCCCCTCTAAGTTTCATTGGGAACATTGTTATTGATATAAGGACTAGCGAGACAGGATAGACAAGCAATGGGCAACCAACTCATTAAAATCATCGTAATGCACAAAGTAATTTAATTGGTATAAAGGCACCTCACATCAGATGTAGACTTTCACCAGGCGAAGAGAAGATAACCTACGAAGGTTGTAAAGGTTTCTTCGCCCGGCTTTTCGTGTATGGTGCCCTGCTGCAACTGTAAGGATATCCTGTCAAGCGTGTAGAGGTCCAGGGTCACAGAGGTGGAGGCGTATTCCAAAGTCGTGGTCGTCGCGTAAGCTGTCGCCCTATTCACGCCATTGTGGGTCAAAGACAGTCTGTAAACAAGTGGAAATTGGAATCAATATTTTATGCATACTTGTTCAGCACTTCATAACGTTTGGAGTTTGCTACTCACGCAAAGTCGTTGGTCCGGTCACTAATAGCGCCGAAAATGAATAAATAACGTCCTGCAACAGGAACCACGAACTCGCTGGTTGTATTGTCCCAGCCGCCTCCTGTGTTGGTCACCACTTCCTGTAGCAGTTCAGGAAGTTACCAATTTTGTTTCCTCTAGGATAGCAAATTCATCAATACTTTCATATATTTAATAGTCATTAAATAATTTTTTAAATCAAAGATAGAATGGGTCAATAAAATGTCTAAAGTTGTTGAGAGGAACAACAGATTAGAATGTTACTATCGACAGCTGCAAGTCAAGATTGTCGACCGTAAACAGGTCACATTTAGGAGGGGGGGGGGGGAAGAATCCCTAATTCACCAGTTTAGGGAATAACACCAAGCCGTCTTAGGTTTAAACCTATACTAGTAGTTAAGTTGTGTAAGTACACAAACTTATACCTTGCATTATATAATAAGTTTTAGTTTTGTTATACCTTTTCATCAAAGTTCATTAAATAACCCCACCCCCCCATTTTACTTAAACTGTAAGACGATTTTTTCAAATTTGTAACAAATTTTACATTTTAATCCTATATTTTCATTTACTAAAACATAAGTAGCGTATATTGTACCAAATTTTGTTAGTACAATACACTACTGGACCTTCTTCCATTATGAAATTAATTTACCTGAAAATGAACGTGAGCGACGGCTGTTAGTTTATCTGTAGCTCTCTTTACGTTGAAGGATACACGAGGCCTACGGGAAAAAAGTTTAGTGTTCACATTAGTGTACCCTGTAAAAAAAAAAAAAAAAAAAAAAAGTACAATTTAGTAATCACGGAGCTGGGAGATCTACTCACACCACGTCCCGCTGACGTTTCGTAGTGGCGTTAGTAGAGATGTTGGCGAGGGGTCCAGTCTCATTGTGAAGAGTTGTGAAGGTAGAGAGCTCTTCAGAGTTTATACCCATTGCCAGGAGACCCACAAGTCCCATCCAGATCAGGGCTACGGCCATCTGTTCAATATTCCTAAAGTCATGCAATTTAAGAAATACATGAAACTATATACAGGATATAAACACTAGAAAACTTAAGTAATCAAAAGTTATTTAAGTATACTGCCATGCAACACCCAAAATTAACGTATTCCATTTATTTATCAACTGATAACTACCAATCTAAACAAACTTCACAAATCTTACGCACCTTCAGATAAATAATTAAACACAAAACTAGACTCAGATCTTCACCAAACGAGAGAAGAGGGAAGACTAACGAACACTCACTGACCAACCTCGCTTGTAAACTATCAACAAGGACTCACTGGTCGGGATATCATACAAAGCCGACAACTGCCACACGTAACCGGAGTTGCCTTAACGTAATATCGCAGTTAGCACGCCATCTATTGAGCGAATTAGGCATCAGAGTCAGAAAGTAATTGTTCATTCACCTGAGAATCATGCAAAAGTTAAGCCTTCGTTAACTATCATTCACGGTGCATTAAACGCGTCGAGTCTTTGATCTATTTGTATAATGTCTGACGACTAGGTGGCCAGCTGTGTCAAGGAGATATCTCGAACAGTATGTATAGTATATCTATACATCTACATCTATACATTTATACATCTATATATCTATATATCTATACATAGTACATCTATATCGAACAGTATATCTCGAACCCTTCAGTATAGTGCCTGTGAGGCACTCATTTCACCTGTATCTTTGCCGACCCGACTAACACCTTAAGTAGAAAATACTGAAAATATATGAGCAAATTGATGTCTTGTTGCCATTCAAACTAAAGTGCTTGTAGGCCCTGTAGCGCTCCAGTTTGTCAGTGGATGTTTGTCAATGCCAGTTCAGTAGATACCAGTTAATTACCTTTCTAAGTAGTCCACAGGCCCAGTTTTTAGTATGTATGAGAAAAAGTTTAGAAATTTACGATGATGATGAATAATTGATGATGAATAATCATCAATAACCGGAGTTTTATGAATATTCATCAATTACTATGAATCGATGATGAAATAGATGATGAATAATTGATGAGTTTGGCAGGAATGCTCGTACCACTAGGCATTTATTGGACCAAAGCCACGAGTTTCGCTATTACACACCACCACCAATGCATGCGACTTAGATGCTCGGTAGAAAGGCTGACGTAGCTTCTCGACTTCAGTAAATGATAACTGCACCCAACAACTTTGAAAGCTCGTAATTTCCTTCCCATTATTCACCGCGAAGTGTTGAGAAGTAAAACGTAAACAATTATGAAGAGTCAGTAAAGCTACCGGGCCACGAAGTCTATTTTTTATTATTTGGTAAACACAAATACAACAAACAGAAAAACTTCAACATCATAATTCATATTTACAAGGCAATTAACACATGAGCAAACTTTAGAACAGGAAAACACACAAACAAAAGTCGTACCCACAAATGGAAACATAAGCATAGGTAACAATTAAATACAGTCAGAGAAGAAAAAGCAGAGAGCACTATAACCCAAAAATAACCTGTCAAGAAACACATGAAAAAATAACCTGTATCTCAAAGCACATCAAGACAGCTAAATAAATACAAAAAAGCAAGAACCACACACAGAGTTAATCATCATCATATTTATCTTGGTATAGACGACGAGGATACTTCTTCCTGTAGGCATCCCACTGAGCCCACAACTCCGCAGACGTGTTAACGTGACTACGTGATCCCAGCGGTCGATGCATGAATTCAGAAACATCCAGCTCGGTGCCCTCCACCACGGGGGCGGAAGTCACGGGAAGAGGCCGCACAGAGCTCGTCGGCGCAGACGGGATAACCACAAGGGGCTGGAGCACAGGAGCCGGCCGAACAAAGGGCGTCGGCCAAGCGGGCAGAGTCCCAGGGGACACAATCACAGAGGGCGATAGTGCAGGGGCAGACTCCACAAGGGGCGGAGTAACAATGGGCGGCTGAGCAGAGGGCAGCCGAGCCTCGGTCGGCATCGCCGTGGGCAGATGCGTGGACGCCTGGACGCCAGAGGCACGGGGGCTGCCGGAACAGAATCTTTCTTAAGAACCATAACTAAGTCTCCACCCTTTCCCGCAACCTTGGCCGGTGCCACATCCTCCCAACCCAGGGAACCAGTAACTGGAGATGCAAAGGCAGCCACAACACAGGAACGAGAAAACACAGGACCAGGCAACAGCCCCCCCATCACTGCTGCATCACTGCCCACAGAAGCCGCAGGCACCCCAACATCGTCGCCCATATAACCATCCACAGAAGACGAATTTCCAGTCCCCAAAATCACGGACATCGGCCCAGGCCTCACCATAAGGCGGAGACAGACTCTCAGCTTGCCGCGATTGCTTGGACACAGGTTGCAGTTTGTCGGAACTATAATTCCCACTAGGAGCACTGCAGCACAACCTCCGGTGGGCTGCGCAACTCCATACAGCGCAGGATCATGCAACAACGCAGCCTCAACAACCCAGGGAACAGGACCTCACACCACAGGAGACATCAGAGCGTGCACGTAGACACAGGCCGAAGACAGTTTCCGGAGACAGTACAGGCCAGTGCGCAGCCTCGACGACCGGGGGCACGAAACCACACACCACTCATCTCATCTCAAGATAACCACAGGAGACACAACTGGAAACTCGACTGGAGACGGGGGGAGGCAGGGGTGGCCGAGGCGGGAGAGCCGGAGACGCAATAAAAACCACCCTGACACCCGCACCAGTAGCCAGATCGAGGCTGGCATCATAAACCGGCAACGGAGTACCAGACGACTGGGAAGCAACACTCACCACAGCAGCACCCTCCGAGAGGTTGGGTCGACCAACCGGGAAGAGTCCTCTTCCCTGAAGAGGTTCACAGGCCCGACCAGGTTTGCATCACAACCCGTACCCTGGTGGCCCGAGAGTCCGCACCAGAAACAAGTCCGGGGCTGACCCCCATACAATATGGGTACCATGAAGCCCAGAAACAGGCTTCATGGTACGCGTGGGACCATTGCTTGTCTGGGCTTAATGGGGCTAATGGGTTCCAATAAGGTCCCTGGTCCGTCTCAATAATGGACCAGGGACCAATGGGACCTGGGACCATTGCTCGTCTATCCTGTATCGCTAGTCCTTACATCTGTAGCATTGTTCCAAATGAAACTTGGAGGGTAACTGGGCCAAAGTTCATAAAGATCGAGATGGGATCATCTCGAACGTAGGTTCGAATCCTTGTCACGGCCCTTGTGGATTTGTTCATTGATTCATCACGTTGTGATTTGTGTGTGTAACGCTGTACTAAATATTAAGATTCCATTTCAATGTTTCCAATTGCTTGGTTAAGTTTAATATAGAATAATTTTATTTAATTATTTCTTTTGAGATTACATTGTCATTGAGCTGTGTCGTTTACAATATCATTTATTTTGTGAGTAGAGTTGACCCCTTCCCTGTGCTTTATAGTTGTAATGACTTGGCGCTTTCCCCCTGATAGTTCCCTTCCCTTCCCCCAATGTATTGAAATTGAAATTGAAATAAGTTTATTGAGGTAAAATACACACAAAGGGATGAGGTAGCTCAAGCACTTCTCACCCCGTTCAGTACATCGTGTTAATACATACATAGACACATCACAAACAATAAACATATTACCAAACATTCTGAGCCCATGTATTTGAACTATTATTTTTTCAGTGATGGGATCATATTTGGGAACACATCGGGCAGGGGAGGGGGGATGGTGGGGTAGGACGAGTGGGGAATTGTGGGAAGGACAGTTGCTGTGGCTCAAACTTCCACGCATAGCCGAGCCACAGGAACGCGTGGCTGGGTACAGCTATATGTTAATGTAAAAGTTCCTTGCATTTTATGGTTCCTAAAACTGTACTGGAGAGGCTCTTCTGGATCCCAGTAAACATGCTCAAAGTTAGTGCTGAGCAAGGAAAAATGGGGGGGGGGGAGGGAATGGGAGGGAGTGGGGAAAGAAAGTACAAGTTACCCTTCCTGTAGTTTAGGAAGAATCATGCATGTTGACCCAACTTTTCCTCCTACAAAGTACGTAGCATTTCGTTGGTACGAGTTACACAAGGAAATAAATTTTACTAGAAAATGGAAGCAGCTCGCGAATACGAACATACTGACCCATCTTGGGGCCTCTAGTAGGTTGGGATAAGGACATTAAGTTCAATTTTCTTGACGTTGGGGAACATTAATAAGACGTCCTAGTTAACCTTACAGAAAGTTAACTTACGTCAAGGCATGCTAAATTAGTAACAGTAGTAGTTTAATGTTTTAAGTTTTCTATCTATGCATGGTAAGATCTTTATGAACTTTGGCCCAGTTCCCCTCCAAGTTTCATTGGGAACAATGCTACAGATGTAAGGACTAGCGATACAGGATAAGTAAGTAATTATCAAAAGAAGGCACCAAACCAGGAAGGCTATGTAGCACCATCAAATGCGCTGAATAATCAAAGGGCGCTAAATATCACCAAGGATGCCAATACGAGAACAAAAACGCATAAGGCGAACGATATCAAAAGTATCCGAGTCACCAAGAATTCTATTGAGGGACAAGTGACCGCAAGGGGCGGTCGGAAAGCAAGACACACGCTCGTCCTGGAAGTCAGGACATTCAAGAAGGACATGCACGACCGTAAGAGGGACAATGCAACTAGGACAATAAGGAGCAGGGCGGCGCTCCAAGTGACCATGGGTTAAACGAGTATGGCCAATACGCAACCTCGCCAGAGCTGTTTCCCATCGCCGGTTACGGTGGTAGGAGGACGGCCACAAGGAAACAACATTTAAGAGTACGTAGTTTGTTCGAGTAACAGACAACCAAGAAGCCTGCCAGCGGGAAAGGACGGAGGAATGGATAACCGGGTAAAAGTCGGAATATGGAATACCTTTACGAGAGATGGGACAAGAGCGGACAGCTTCCTTGGCGGCAGCATCCGCACGCTCATTTAAAGACACACCAATATGGCTAGGAACCCAACAAAACTCAACCAACTTAAATTTACTATGAACAAGAAACAGCCAATGCTGGATCTCTACAACTACTGGATGAACCGGATTAAAGGACCCGAGAGCCATGAGGGCACTACGAGTCAACAACTACAAAGGAAGACTGACAACGAGAAAGCAGGAGACGAAGAGCATAGAGAATAGTATTAAGTTCCGCTGTAAAGATGCTAGTCTCCGGAGGTAAGCGACAAAAGTGCGATCAGGAAAAACAACAGAGTAGCCAACACCGTCTGCAGACTTAACCCATCGGTGAAGACAAACGGAGCGGGAGTGAGAAGAAAAGTGCTCAAGGAAAAGGAGTTTTAGAACCGTAGGAGGGGGTAAAAGCTTTAGTGATGCGGGTCAAGGAAGTACAAAACCGCAGAAGAGGGACTCTCCACGGGGGCAAAGAAGGAACACGAGGAGAAACATCAGAAATACGAAAAGAAAGAATCCTGGAGGCGAGATAACCGGACAGAAAGAGGGAGGTGGTGAAGAGGAACAGGAACCGCAGGAGGGGTAAAAGTTCGCAGAATCAAGAGGGAGGAGATCAAAATATTTGGCCCACGAAGCGGGACCAAACAAAGCTTGATAGGTAGCAGAACTGGAAGCAATCTAGCGAGGGCGGCCGTGACGAGGACATCGGTGAGAACCCCCAGAGGGGTTAAAAGGCGCAGTAGTTACAACTAGAGAAGGAGCCGCGCCAGGGGACGAGGTAGTCACCACTGGGGGCTTGGGGCTCGACCCAACCACAGAGGAGGGAGGGGAACCAGGGGAAGAAGTCAGAGGCCAAAGAAGGAGCAAGGTCGGGGCCCAATGCAGAGGAGGCTACAGAGCCCGGTCTTCCAATAAGGACCGACTCGGGGGGGGGGGGGGGGGGGGGGGGCTTGGTCGCCCACCCCACGAGCCTGAGAAGGTAAAGCAGAAATAGCCGAAACAAGGGTCATCATTACGAAAAGAAAAATTCATTCACGAATGTGCCCCCACACCCACCATGGAGCAACAATTAGAGGCAGGACACCCAACAAGAAGCTATCGCCGATCTTGCCGGGGCCTCCTAGGGGTGCGTCGTGAGTATACGCCCCACAAACGCCACCTTAAGAAACCGACAGTTCGTCGAGATCGGGTTCAGTGACGAAAGGGGGATTGACAATACAAGGTTCCCCTCGCTCTCTACGTCGGGTACTACAGTTGTACGGGTGCAAGAGTATGCCTCCTCAAGCACCCGGGCGTCAAAATAGAAGAAGTCCAAGGGAAGAACCGGAACAAGCAAAAGCTCGGCAGGAAACGGCAAGCGGATAGGAGAAGAGGGGGGGGGGGGGGAGAAAAACGAAACAGAAGGAAAAGGAAAAGGTGCCCAGCAGAATTGGAGAGGACGGCAGCAGAAGCACAAGGCTAGAAAAGGACAGGATTGTCCCAAGGAGCATCACACTCCGGCAGCCGTCCACTAAGCCCCCCCCCCCACACATGGCAACAATGAGCTGAACGGGGAGGGGGCTGCTATAGGTAAATGAGTTTCTTAATTGCAGTACCATCTGTTGTGTGTAACAGAAACAAATAATAATAAAAAAAAATCAATGTTTGATTGCTTTGTTAATTTGAGTAGATAAACTATTTTCATTTAATCATTTCTTTTGATATTTCATTATATTTGATCCGTGTCGTTTAACACTATTTCGCGAGAATAGTCCCCACCTCCCGCCATTTAGTTAAACCGATCTTTTCAATGCCACAGCAATGCATAGCCAGGTACACCTAGTTTTTAATGTAATAGTTCCTTGCGTTTTATGGTTCATAAAAACGGTACTGGGGATAGACTTCAGGATCCCAATAAGCATGCTCAAAAAGTTGGAGTTGGAAAAGGTAGGGGGGGGGAGGGGGAAACCGTGTACGTCACCCCTCCTATAGTTTAGGAAGGACCATGCATGTCAAGTCTTATCACAAAGTAGGTAGCATTTCATTGGTACGAGTTTCAGAAGTCCACAAATTGTACTAGAAAATGGAAACGGCTGGCGATTACGACTTTCCGATCCATTTTGGGGCTTCTGGTAGGTTAGGATAAGGACACCAAGTTGGTTTTTTTGACGCTGGGAAACATTAAAAAGACGCACTAGTTAACCATACAGGTAGTTTACTTACGTCAAGGCATGCTAAATTTGTTAGTTTAATCTTTAGCATTCTATCTATGCATGGTAAGACTTATGAACTTCGGCCCAGTTCCCCTCCAAGTTTCATTGGGAACATTGTTATTGATACAATGACTAGCGAGACAGGATAGACAAGCAATGGGCAACCAACTCATTAAAATCATCGTAATGCACAAAAGTAATTTAATTGGTATAAAGGCACCTATCAGATGTAGACTTTCACCACGCGAAGAGAAGATAACCCACGAAGGTTGTAAAGGTTTCTTCGCCCGGCTTTTCGTGTATGGTGCCCTGCTGCAACTGTAAGGATATCCTGTCAAGTGTGTAGAGGTCCAGGGTCACCGAGGTGGAGGCGTATTCCAAGGTCGTGGTCGTCGCGTAAGCAGTCGCCCTATTCACGCCATTGTGGGTCAAAGACAGTCTGCAAACAAACGTAAATTTTAATTAATACTTTATGCACACTTACTCTTTACAGTACTTCAAAACGTTTGGAGTTTGCTACTCACGCAAAGTCGTTGGTCCGGTCACTAATAGCGCCGAAAATGAATAAATAACGTCCTGCAACAGGAACCACGAACTCGCTGGTTGTATTGTCCCAGCCGCCTCCTGTGTTGGTCACCACTTCCTGTAGCAGTTTAGGAAGTTAATAATTTGGTTTCCTCTAGGATGTCAGGGAAATTCATTAATACTTTCATATTTAAAAATATTTGTGGTTAAATAATTTGAGAAGTCTCAGAACGAGACAATATAAAGTAAGTTTAGAGGGAGAACAGATTAGAATGCAAGTCAGGATTGTTTAACATAAACAGTTCATTTAAGGGGAAGGGGCGGGGACCCCTAATTCACTAGTTTAGGGAATAACACCAAGCCGTCTCAGGTTTAAACCTATACAAGTTTAACCACTTAGTATAAATACTTTTGTACCTTGCATTGTACAGTAGGTTTTAGTTTTATGTTAAACCTTTTCATCCAAGTTCATTAAAGAATCCCCCCACCCCCATTTTACTTTAGCTGTACGACGATTTTCCAAATTAGTGTGCCTTATATGTGTATATAAATTCCCCCATTTTATTCCTACATTTTCATTTACCAAAACATATGTAGCGTATGTTACTACAATACACTGAACTTCCATTATGATTAATTTACCTGAAAATGAACGTGAGCGACGGCGGTTAGTTTATCTGTAGCTCTCTTTACGTTGAAGGATACACGTGGCCTATGGAAAGAATTTTTTTTTAGTGTTCAGACTGTACCATTTGTAAAAAACAGACAAACGGTACCATTTAGTAATCACGGAGCTGGGAGATCTACTCACACCACGTCCCTCTGACGTTTCGTAGTGGCGTTAGTAGAGACGTTGGCGAGGGGTCCAGTCTCATTGTCAAGAGTTATGAAGGTAAAGTGCTCTTCAGAGTATATACCCATTGCCAGGAGACCCACAAGTCCCATCCAGATCAGGGTTAAGGCCATCTGTTCAGTACATCAAAACCCATGCAGTTTAAGAAACATTATATCAATACAAATAGTAGAAATACTTTAATCAAGAGTTGTGAAAGTATACTGCCATGCAACACCCAAAATAAACGCTTTCCATTTATTTAACAACTGATGACTACAGATCTAAACACAAACATCACAATCTTACTCACCTTTAGATAAATAATTAAACACAAAACTAGACGCGGATCTTCACCAAACGAGAGAAGAGGGCAGACTGACCAACACCCACTGACCAACCTCGCTTGTAAACTATCAACAAGGACTCACTGGTCGGGATATCATACAAAGCCGACAACTGCCACACATAACCGGAGTTGCCTGAATGTAATATCGCAGTTAGCACGCCATCTATTGAGCAAGTTAGGCAGCAGAGTCAGACAGTAATTGTTCATTCACCTGAGATTCATGCAAAAGTTAAGCCTTCGTTTTAACTATCATTCACGGTGCATTAAACGAGTGGAGTCTTTGATCTATTTGTATAATGCCGGAAGACTAGGTGGCCAGCTGTGTCAAGGAGATATCTTGAACAGTGTCTCACATGCGGCCCTCGGTCCACAAGTGGCCCACAAGCGGCCCTTTATCCTTCAGTATGTTGTCTGTGAGGCACTCATTTCACTCGCACCTTTGACGACCCGACTACCACACCTTAAATGTAAAATACTGAAAATATATGAGCAAATTGATGTCTTGTGGCCATTCAAACTAAAGTGCTTAATTGTAGGCCCTGTAGCGCTTAAGTTTGTCAGTGGATGTTTGTCAATGCCAGTTTAGTAGATGTCAGTTAATTACCTTTCTAAGTAGTCCACAGGCCCAGTTATTAGTATGTATAAGAAAAAGTTAAGAAATTTACAACATTTTCTATAGTAATTGATATTATACATATAACTGATGTAGTGCAACTTGAAAATTGTTTACTTCAAGGAAACAAGAACTTATATCTTTGATATCAATAAATACAACAAAAATAGATGATGAATAATTGATGAGTTTGGCAGGAATGCTCGTGGCACTAGGCATTTATTGGACCAAAGCCACGAGTCTCGCTATTACACAACACCAGAAATGCAAGCCACGTAAATGCTCGGTAGAAAGGCTGACGTAGTTTCTTGACTTCAGAAAATGATAACTGCACCCAACAAATTTGTAAGTTCGCAATTTCCTTCACATTATTCACCGCGAAGTGTTGAGTACAAGAACGTAAACAATTATGAAGAGACAGTAAAGCTACCGGGGAAACGAGATCTTTTTTTATTATTTGGTAAACACAAATACAACAAACAGAAAAACTTCAACAACGTCATTCACATTTACAAGGCAATTAACACATAAACAAACTTTAGAACAGGAAAACACACAAACAAAAGTCGTACTATACACAAATGGAAACATAAGCATAGGTAACAATTAAATACAGTCAGAAAAGAAAAAGGCAGAGAGCACTATAACCCAACAATAACCAGACAAGAAACACATGAAAAAAATAACTCGTATTTCAAAGCACATAAAAACAGATAAATAAAGCAAAAAAAGCAAGAACCACACAAACACACAGTTAATTATCATCATATTTATCCGGATATAGACGACGAGGATACTTCTTCCTGTAGGCATCCCACCGAGCCCACAGCTCCGCAGACGTGTTAACGTGACTATGTTATCCCCGTGGTCAATGCATGAAATCAGGAACATCCAGCTCGGCGCCCTCCACCACGGGGGCGGAAGTCACGGGAAGAGGCCGCACAGAGCTCGTTGGCGCAGACGGTGGAACCACAAGGGGCTGGAGCACAGGAGCTGGCCGGACAGAGGGCAGCAACATAGCGGGAGAGTCCCAGGGGACACAATCACAGGGGCCGACACCACAAGGGGCGGAGTAACAAAGGACGGCTGAGCAAAGAACAGCCGTGCAGCGGTCGGAATCGCCGAGGGCAGATGGACGGAGGGCACAGACATGGACTCCAGAGGCACGGGGGCTGCCGGAACAGAATGTTTCTTAAGAACCATGCCCAAGTCTCCACCTTCTCCCACAACCTTGGCCGGTGCCACAACTTCTCAACCCAGGGAACCAGCAACTGGGGATGCAGAGGCAGCCACAACACAGAAAAGAGAAAACACAGGGCCAGGCACCAACCCCACTTCAAGACCCATCACCACTGCAACACGGCCCAGGCACCCTAACATCGTCGCCCACATCACCATTCACAGAAGACGAACTTTTGGAGTCCCAAAAATCCCTGACGTCGGCCCAAGTCTCACCACGCGGCGGAGACAGATTCAAAGCTCACCGTGAACGCTTGGACACAGGTCGCAGGTCGTCGTAACTATGACCCCCGCAGCAGAACCTCAGGTCGGCAACGCAACCCCACGCAGCGCACGGTCATTCAACATCGCAGCCTCAACAACCCGGGGAACAGAACCTCACACCGCAGGAGACATCACCGCATGCATGTTGACACGGGCCGGAGACAGTACAGGCCGGGGCGCAGCCGCAACGACTGGGGGCACGAGACCACACGCCACAGGAGACACAAATGGAGACTCGACTGGAGACAGGGCAGGCAAGAGTGGCTGAGTTGTGGGAGCCAGGGATGCAGTAACTGCCACCCTGCCATCCACACCCCCAGCCACTTCGAGACTGGCATCAGAGACCGGCAACGGAGCACGAGACGATTGGAAAGTATCACTCACCACAGCAGCACCTTTCGACAGGTCTGGGACTACCAAAGGGGGAGAGTCCTCCTCCCTGAAGAGGTTCACAGGCCCGACCCGGCTCGCATCACAACCAGCAGCCTGATGGCCCGAGAGTCCGCACCGGAAAAAAAAGTCCAGAGCTGACCCCATAGAACACGCGTACCATGAAGCCCAGAAGCAGGAGAGATGAAGGGATGGAGTCCTTCAAGTGCAGCACCACAGTGCGGGTCCCATTTGGCATACCCTTCCACCGTCCAGAGGAAACTGCATTCATCCGGACACTCAAGACCCGCCCATACCGGGTAAAGTGACGCTGGAGAAGGGAGTCAGGGAACTCAAAGGGTGCACCATGAACTGCCACATAGGTAGTCTCACTGCACCTGTCCGACACCTCCACCGAACCACCACCCTCAGGCAGAGTAAACGTCCTCCCGTCATAGCGGTCCACAAAGTCACGATACACACCCGTGAAACAGAATTTCACAACAGCCCGATGCCCGGACACAAGTTGAACGCCGCACACAGACGCAACTTGTTGCGTCTGTGTGCGTCCACCGTAATATATCAATCATGTCCACCTGAACTGTCGAGTAAGACGCTGGCCCAGTAAACTCCAGGGAAATGGTATCCCTATGCTTCACAGGATGGAGGGGGGCCGCCATTCCTCCAGCCGGCACGGCCCCAAGGCCCCGCTTACAAACACAAACAACCGCTGGCCAGCTAACCAGGAGCTCACAGGCGACACGTCTGCCTCCAAGAGCCTGACGAGCACTCATATATACATCCTTTGTGGGTTTCCTCCTCTACCACTTGTAATGTTCTTAGGCTTTCTTTAATAAACTTCTAATCAAGTTTAAACTAAATAGTTTAACCTCTTAGATTACTACTGGAATCCTAATTAATCTTACACTTAAAAGCTTGTCTGTAGAGCCTATTAATCAGATGAAATGCAAGATTGCTGCTTCAAAAACCTAACTGTTTACGCTGGCTATATTCATGGAATAACTGTATTAGACCCATCCAGTTTCTCTACGGATGCTGATATGGTTCAAACTCTCTCGTGCGTGCTCACTCACTCACACTAGTGTACCTTGCTCTGCCCTGGTATTTACTTCCCCCTAAAGACACTTTTCCCGTATCTCTCAACCAGTATATATTAGCAATTTCATTTTATGGAGACAACGTCCAGCCCCTGTCAGATTTCCTAGAGGTCGCAGGAAGAAAGGTGGAGTAGATATAGATGTCAATATTTCGTGAAAGGTGGGGGGAGGGATGGATGTAGACAGAAGAATGTTTGATATCTCCTAAGCTACTCACACTAAGACTAGGGTTTGCCTACGACAACTTAAAGAATCGCTGACAACCAACAGTTTCTTCCATCACGGTGTAGATAAGATTGACTATGTTGACCAGACCACACACTAGAAGTTGAAGGGACGACGACGTTTCGGTCCGTCCTGGACCATTCTCAAGTCGATTGTGAAGAGTAGATTGATTGATTGATGAAGATCAAGCCACCCAAGAGGTGGCACGGGCATGAACAGCCCGCAAGTGGTGGCCCTTTTGAGCCATTACCAGTATCAAAAGATGATACTGGAGATCTGTGGAGGTGTAACTGCACCCTGCGTGACGGGAGATGTCTCCCGGACCAAATGGTGACCAAATGGTGTGAAGAGTAGGTAGAGACAGGCAATAAATAGGCAAGAGAGACCTACACCTTACTTTGCTCCTCAGCTCTCTCTTGCCTATTTATTGCCTGTCTCTACCTACTCTTCAAACCATCTGGTCACCATTTGGTCCGGGAGACATCTCCCGTCACGCAGGGTGCAGTCGCGCCTCCACAGATCTCCAGTATCAGCTCTTGATACTGGTAATGGCTCAAAAGGGCCACCACTTACGGGCTATTCATCCCCGTGCCACCTCTTGGGTGGTTTAATCTTCATCAATCAATCTAGTCTTCACAATCGACTTGAGAAAGGTCCAGGACGGACCGAAACGTCCCTTCAACTTCTAGTGTGTGGTCTGGTCAACATACTTCAGCCACGTTATTGTGACTCATCGCCTGCATAAGATTGACTACATTAAAATTTGTACCTGAAATCGTGTTCTTCAGCACTTCCATTATTTCCTAAAAATTTTTAAGTTCTTTGTAAAATCTAATGAATTAGAAGGAAAGTTTTTGGGCTAAATTATAATTTACGGAATAAATTTTTGAGTGTACAATTACTCGGACTTTTTTTCCAGTAATTTTTAAAGAAATCCTGGTTTGTCTCGCAGAGAGGCTGCAGGGTCCAAGTAAATTCAGTAGAATTTCTTGTTGCAATTCTTACACCATGTCGTAGCTCAGTCGATTAAGGCAGCGTCTGGGATGCTCTCGGACGCTGGTTCGAATCCTCGTCACGGCCCTTGTGGATTTGTTCATATGATACATCACCCTATTGTGATTCTGTGTGTAATGTAACAAGACTACTTGATAGTAAAGTTTCCTGATAGTCTGGAGCGGACAACCCAGAGACGGCAAGTATGGCAACACTGCCCATTGATACTTCTTGAATAGGAAGGGAAGCGAATTT